CAGGGCTACCCTGTGTCTAAGACACTAGCCGAAAGGGAAGCCTGGAAATTTGCAAAGGAAAACAACCTCGATCTCATTACTGTGATACCATCTTTGATCACCGGTGCTGCATTCACTCCTGATGTCCCCAGCAGCATCGGTCTTGCTACATGCCTGTTAACAGGTCCATAATTCTTATCCTAAATGTACAAAAATAAATATTTTCATTAGTCCTGTAGTCATCAGACTCATTCTGCAGGAAATATGTTGCGTTTTTGCAGGAAATGAGTCCCTCATAAATGGTATGAAGGGTATGCAGTTACTGTCTGGTTCAATTTCGATTACACACGTAGAAGATGTTTGTCGTGCACACATTTTCCTAGCTGAGAACAAATCAGCTACAGGGCGTTACATCTGCTGTGCTGTTAACACTAGTGTTGTTGATCTCGCGAAGTTCTTAAGTAACAAGTACCCTCAGTATAATGTTCCTACAGAGTATAATTTCAGACTATTCTTCTTAGATGGGAGTTTATATTAACTTTGTAGCATTACAATGATTATGTATAACTCAAGGACAGTGATTTTATTCGTGTTACATTTTGGTTGATGACTGCAGTTTTGGAGAACTTCCTTCTAAGGCCAAGTTGATCCTTTCTTCAGAGAAGCTCGTTCACGAGGGATTCGAGTTCAAGTATGGGATTGAAGAGATTTATGACTTGACTGTGGAGTATCTGAAGAGCAAGGATTTATTGAAGAATTGAAGGGGAAATACAGCATCTAGCTTCTTAGCTCTATTTACTAGTACTATGTTTTGGACTGAAAGTTTTTGTACATTTTTATAATGATTTTCAGCTGTTTTTATCTACAATTATATAATAATCCTTTAGAGCCATTTGGAAAACTAAAAAATTGCAGCAAATTATCATCCATTTCACCAATACGAGTATGACTCTGAAAGGTGTGTCTCCACTAGGAAGATAATTAAGGGAGCACTTACTACAGAAAGATAGTAGTTTGTCAAAAGCTTAAAGCGGACATAAATTTAAATGCAATCGTTGTATAGCTTATGAAATGGTAATTACTCCGTAGATTATAACCAACTAATAATCATTTTATTTGAAATTAATTCCCAATTTCTCATAAATCCTCTTATTATTCATCAGTTATGATGCTGACATGTTGCAACTGTTGTATAATACGGAGTAATATTTTCGTGTAAAAAAAATTTATTGTGTTTTGGTTTTGGGGGTATAATTTAAATACCCCATATTTTCACAAGAAATCAAGAATTATGAAGGGTGCATAATATATACGAAGTATCAATCACTTTTAAATTTATAAATTAAATTGTCCCACATTGAGAAAGGTTTATTTAAGTTGGCTTGATTACTTTATTCATGGCATAACAACTCTTTTTATGTAAGAATAGCCCAACTGCCCAATAGTAAAAAAAGGCCATAGAGCCCAGAAAAATTCAGGTCCAATCCTTAAGGGAAGCAGTTAATCAATCAGATTTGCTTAAGTCAAAGTTTGATTAGTCTACAAATCTTTTAGAATATCATAGCATAAGTGCATAATAAGTAATCAACCTTCTTTATATGTTTGTTTTCCTTATTGTTGAAAAACCTACCCTGGTCAGTGGTCACTATTTCAATTACTTGCATAAGTGGCTAGGGTTGAATTTTTACTCTTCAAGATATAGGCCCTTTCATCTTATGATTTTTTTTTTCTCTCTTTTTTTTTTCTTCTTTTTTGACAAGAGCAACTAAAAGAGCAAAACTAAATAATACTAAAACTAACTAAACTAGTCTTGCACTCATTTGCCAAAATATGTGCCTTCCGGACTTGTTCCCTGCTTACTTTCCATATCACTATCTACGAGTAAAAATTTATATTCCGTAACCAATTTAAACTTTTAATTGGTCATATTTGTTTGAGAAATAATGGTTACTATATAAGTTGTCCTTATTAATGAACAAAACTAGTTTTTAGGCCCAGACGATGCCCTGAGTTACTGCATTATTTACATGATAAAAATCTAGATTTATATTTAATTTTTATTAAATGACATGTAATTAGTGGCTAACACCTTAGACTTTAAACTTAAGGTCGTGGGTTCAAATCTTGTAAGAACCATCCTTTTGAACAATCGAATTAAATAAGGGCGTGCCACATGGCTTAAACATATGGAGTAAAATAACAAAGAGAGCGCCACGTGCATTGACACTTAAACTTGTTTAGAAACGCCTTTTAATATATAGTATAGATGATACCTTTTGTATGTAAAGATTTTCTAACCATTTAGCGTTGAATTTGACTAATTTACCAGGCCATATTTTGCGTGTTTATTTGACTGAATTACGTAATATTAATTACTTTGGAAAGTAAGTTTGTAATAACTTGCATAAGAGGTTTATGGTTGAATCCTCATCCTCTTTCTCTCCAAGGTAGACCCATTCATCTTATTTATCTACGAACAAGTATCATAACTAGCTTAGTCTGAATCCGATTGGCCCTTTTTGTTTGTAACAAGATTGTTATTGTTGTGTACTTGTGTTCATGTTAATGAGCAAAATGGTCCCCTTTGTATGTAAGATTTCAGTTTGCTCATTAATGGTACTCTGTACATGCTTTCTAATCGTCTAGTATATTATCTGAGTTGGCCTACCATTTTTTGAAGTGCATACATGAATTGCATGGTCATAGATTCATATTACATGCTAGTCACAAGAAAAAGAAAAAAAAAGTGTGAACATTTCACACTTGTGCTACTAGTATTGATTTTGTCTCTATGTATGAATTATTTTCAAGAAACAACGTACCTATAGCTTTTTGATGTAACCTTAATCGTTGGCCATGTCGGTTGTGGTTGTGATTATGTAATTTACATCAAGGTGTACGTTGCACAGAAGAATTTTTTTTCTTATTTTATGATTAAATGAGGATGGTATTGCTCATTTAATTACCAAACTAGTGTGTAGTTTGAGCGTTACACCGGGTTACCGCTTTGATCAAATTTTCTCTTTATGATTTTTTTTAATTGTCTAAAGATTTTTTTTTATTTTTAATTTTTTTGTCAACTACGTATTATAATTGTGGTATCATAGGTTGTTTGAGTATGTTGTGAACAAATGTTTAACGTAATGTTACTAATTGATAGAGTATAGAATGACAATTTTAAATCCATTGTTTGGGAAATGTTGATTCTATTCCTCTAAGGGGCGGTTTGGTTCGCATAGGGTAAAAAGAATGGAATGAACAAAGGGAATGAAAGAGAATGGAATGAAAAACCATTCCATGTATGTAGTGTGTTATTTGTTTTAAAAAAAATAAAGGGAATCACCACACCACCACAACACCATCACACAACCCCCTTTTTCCTTCACTTTCCCACTTCTCTAGCCACCCTACCACCCAGCCATCACCTTGTCGAAATCCCCCAGAGCCCGTCGCACCTCCCCCACCCCTCCCCTCCCCTCCCCCGAAAATATCTCCCCCTCCTCGGAAAACCTTCCTTTAATCCCTTTCACCTTTCTTTCTCCTCTGAATCAGCCATTGCCGTCAATTCGAAGCTCATAAACCTTAATTATTCATCATCAATACCCTTCAAACCCCAGAAAATCCCAATTAAGAAATCCAACAAATTCTCGTTTTTCTTCAATTCGAACTTCGAATTGACGGGGTCGGGGAAGGTTTTCGAGGGATGGGGGAGGTGCGACAACCTCCAGCGAGGGGTGGGGGAGGTGCGAACACGGCAGTAAGTTTCGATGAGGGGTCGGGGAAGATTTTCGAGTGAGGTGCGAGCTTACTGGAGGTTGGCGAGTGGCGGAGAAGGGACGACGATAGCCAGGGGAAAGGCGGCAAAGTGGCTGGGTGGTGGCTGTGTAGTGGGGGTAGGGTAGAAGGGTGGTGGCTGGTGTAGGCATGGTGGTGTAATGGTGGCTAAGGAAAAGGAATGGAAAAGGCTAGAAGGGGTGGAGAATCAATGTAGAGTATTTTGGGTAAACTCAGAAATAAAAATGGGTAAAAGGAATGATTAAAAGTGACAAACAAACACCAATAAAAGGAATGAGGCCTGCTCATTCCCTTTCCCTTTGATTATTAACCCCAACCAAACGACCCCTTAATATTTTCCCAAGTTGTAATCTAGTTTTTCCTTTTTATTTTGTCTGTAACATGAATTATTATTGGTTAAGATGGTAAGGAGTTTGATCTTGTTTTCTTAAGGTTTGGTGTTCGAATCCCATGAGATGCTATGAGCAAAAAATAACTTTGGTGCATATTGTATCCGGACGTATATAAAAATTATCAATTATGTCTTCGTAATAACATTCGTGGTTAATGGTAATGGTAATAACATTTTTGGCTACTATACGTACAAACAAAGCCTTTTTCTTTAACCTTAAAAGATATGTGGCGTCATAAAAGACTTGAACTTCCTTTATTTCAAAGTAATAATTACAAACCTTCTAATGTAATACTTTATAATTTATAATTACTCCATATCTTGACAGTCGTAGACATATATGATACTCGTAGCTTTTATTTTAGATCCCGATACTCTTCTAATAATTTTATTACTTTTTTGACATAAAATTCTCTTCTAATAAGGCTATATAAAGGGATTAAAGGTTGTTAAGTTATGAACTCTATGTATTCTTGAAAGTTCGACTTAACTTTACTTCATTCTTTTTATTTACTGTTTTAGTCCCACATAATTTACTCTTTTTTATACTTTAACTTTATCCACTTTTTTCTTACACTCGGCCAGCCTTTTTACCCCTTCACTAACTTTGTTCATTTTTTATTTCAATCTAACACTGTTTTTCCATGTATTCCTACAAACAAAAGTACATACAATAAGTTAATCAAACTTTTGGTAACAGAGTGACTATGACCATCTCTTTCTATTTACAAGACGTCACAAACATGATGTAATTCCTTTGTGATCACTGGTCAGACACACAATAAAAATGAGAATGTCTTTCCCCGTTTACGTAGCATAAAATATGTGGTGAACACAATCCTTAGCTTGAATTTTCAAATCCTGATTTTCATAGCTAAAAAATCCAAAGAAAATTATTTCAGTAATTGTGTAGCCTATATATACCAGAAATATCACAGTTTCTAAGGTCCAAGATCAAGTTACACAACATACACATTAATATCTACACTAGTGAGCCAACATGAATAACACAAACTATATCCAAAACCAGTTGAACCAGCCAAATTGTGAGATGAAATCGGATTCATGTGGCGTAACACATGAACGACGAAGTGCTAATTATAAGCCAAACATCTGGAGCTATGATTTCGTTCAGTCCCTTACAAGTGAATTTACAGTACGTGAGACATGATATATAATCTACATATATATATATATATATTCGCGTTTTAGTTAGATGATCTTATATATTTCGTATATAGCTGTATACTCATTTTTTACTATTGGTTCGAGTTATGACTGTCAATGTCACATAACATGCCCCGGGGGTGGTTGTGGTGGATTTGGCCGAACACTGATTATCAAATTTATTCGCCTTTTAACTTGGCAGTTTAACTATTTTTTTTGTTACATAATCCACAATAAAATGCAGAGTACTATAACAAGAATTTTCTTATGCAGGAAAAAAAATACATAGAACGTGCAGAGAAGCTGAAAGTTAAGGTTATGCATATGTTAAGTGAAGTACCAGAGTTGTCGAAGCCACACATAGTCGAAACCATTAGGAAGCTCGGTCTGTCCAACGTATTACACATGGAAATCAGGGACACCCTTGATTCCATGGTTTCTAATTTGAACAGCAATGATAATGCTTGTTTTGAACAGGATATCCTTGGTACTTCACTAAGTTTTAGGCTTCTTCGGCAGCATGGCTATAATGTTTCGCAAGGTGATGAATCCTTGCATCTTAAAGCTTTAGAGTTAAGGCTGATTTATCTACAAAAATCGTTAATAAGAATAAGTACTGATATATTACATTTTTTGATTTCTCAGAAATGTTAGTTGATTTCATTGGTGAGATGGATTTCCTCATGGAAAACTCGAGTTCAAAATTCGACCTTAGAGGCATCCTTGAGTTGTTTGAGGCTTGTCACCTAGCTGTGGAAGGCGAAGAGCTGATGGAAAAGGCTAAGGCTTTTTCCCACAAGTATCTCACTGACAACTATTTGGACATGGATGTCAACCTTGCTAAACATGTTACTTTTGCCTTAGAAATTCCATGCCATAGAAAAGTCTTGTCGTTTGATGTCAGCCGCCAAATTCGTTATTATGAACTCAAAGATAATAAGAATCTAATATTACTTGAATTGGCTAAGCTAAATTTCAACATTGTACAAGCCATGCACTTGGAAGATCTCAAAGAAATGTCGCGGTATGGATATAATAATCTTAGCTTGAGTCCCTCCGTTTCTAACTGTTGTGAGACAAAAATAGTCGTAGTAGGTAGGGGTGAGCATGGATCGGATATCGAAAATTCCTATATTTGATATCCGTATCCGAAAATTCCTATATTTGATATCCGTATTCGATTCGAAAATTTTCGGATATCCGATATACGAATATCCGATAATTTTGGATTGGATAGCTCAAATATCCAATATCCCACCTTTTCAAATTATTGTTTAAAAATTCATTTAATGGATATCCGACTGTTTCAAATTATTGTTTAAAAATTCATTTAATGGCCAAATTAACTTTTTGTTAAGGAAAATTGATAGATAGAGTACTTGTATATTGAAATTGAGCTAAAATGAGAAGATCAAATAGACTTGAAAATTTTAAAATTCAACAACTAATTTCACCAATTTTAAAACAAAGAAATTTTACACATTGTCACAGATTACAGAACAAAAAAATTTAAGATAATTATCATTGAGATGAGAAGCCGCCGCTGGTGGAGGCGTGGAGCGGCCGTGAGAGTGAGGGAGTGGGATTTGAGAGCGGGCGCTGTCGATGGTGGTGATATGTGATGATGGGCTGACCTGGTGTTGCAACTCGAGGGAAGTCGTTGTGGTTGCGAATGTTGATGGCGGTGTGGCTGGAGGAGGGTGGAGCGACGCGTGAGGATCAAGGGGGAAGATGAGCAAGCCGTTGGTAGTTGGCTGGTGTAGATGTTGATGGAAGTGAATTGAGGGAGATCTTAAAAAAGAATGGTCACTGAGATTCTAAGAGGAAAGAGAGGAGAGAGAAGATAGAGAATCAGATAAGAGAGAGGGGGCGGTGGGGGAGTTTTTGAGGGAATGATTAGGGTTAGTTGGTTTGGGCCTTTTGGGTCTTTGTGTAGTATTTAGAGTAAGTCTTCACTAAAAAAGACTTCGTAAAAAATTAAGTGATTTTTTCGGATATTGGATATCCGATATCCGATCCGATATCTTAATTTTTAGGATCGGATATCTGATTTGAAGTCAAATTTGGATCGGATATCCATAATTTTCGGATCGAATACAGATCGGATCATCGGTTTTTTCGGATTTTCAGATAGTTTTGCTCAACCCTAATAGTAGGAACATTAATGTTGACATTTGTAAATCGTGTTTCCATGTTTTCAGGTGGTGGAAAAATCTTGGGCTTATAGAAAACATCAGCTTCACACGAGATCGATTAGTTGAGAGTTTCTTATGGACAGTTGGAGTCGCTTGTGAACCACAACATTCACTTCTCAGAAAATGCCTAACAAAAGTTGTAACTTTTGTACTTGTTCTTGATGATGCGTATGATATATATGGTTCTTTTGAAGAGCTAGAGTGTTTCACCAGGATTGTGGAGAGGTTGGTTTATAAGTATCTCAAATAACCTTAGATAGAAACGAAGGAACACCAAATTATCAGACACAGCCTCATATTCAGACTAGTACGTACACACATAGATGTAGCCACATAATTCATCATCCCTAGCTAAAAACACGTAACTTTTTACCTATTTGAATCAGATTGGTACTTACGGTTAAATTCTTACGTATTTGGGTCAATTTTAACCATTTTTGGGCAATGTTTAATGACATTTTTAGTTTGTTTATTACTCGTAATAATCAGTCGTTGCATTTCTAATATATGCATCACATTTTAGATGGGATTATAAAGAAGTCGAACAACTTCCAGAGTGCATGAAGATTTGCTTCCAGGCACTAGTAACAACTACTAATGAAATTGCTACTGATATCCAAAAAGCTAAAGGCTGGAATGACATATCGCCTTTCTTAAAAACTGGCGTAAGTTTTATGAACTATTTTTGATTGCTACTGCATATAAGAAAATTCGAGTTCTCAATTCTCATCAACAGATATGTTTTCGTTGTTAGTGGGCTGATTTTTGCAAAGCTCTGCTAAGGGAAGCTTGGTGGTACAAGAAGCGATACATACCATCACTCGACGATTATCTGAATTCAGCATGGATCTCTTCCTCTGGTCCTCTGCTTTCCCTTATTGCTCTTCTCTGCACTGCTGATTGTACATCAGAGGAGCTGAATGATAAGTGGGAAGACAGTCAAGATCTCATATATTACTCGTCGTTAATCATTCGACTCTTGAATGATCAAGGAACTTCAGCAGTAAGTACAAGAATTGAGTTAGTTTTGTTTATAAGAGGAAACTTAAACTTGTTGTACCTTATAGACCGGTCTGAGCTGTAAGGTAGGCCGATCTGTAAGGTACCATAACATAGCGCGTACTAATGTTTAATAGGCACTCGGCTTATACTGTATCTTACAGAATGTCATGGATATAAATGCAACACTAGGGTGTTCACAAAGTTTAAGAAAATTTATAGGGTTGGTGGGAGAGAGAAATTATAAAATAATAGTGGGTCATTGTCAAAAATAGTAGTGTTGCAATTATTATGAAACGGCTGAAAATATAAAGTGTTGCATTTAATATGAAACGGAGGGAGTAATAAGTATTAGGTTTGATGAGTAATTTTCATTTGTGTACACATACACTTAAGAGCTATAGTTCATGGTACTTATGTGGAATTTCTATTTTGAAGCGTATATACCTTTAATTTTATGTAATGATGAAAAAATTCGAGCTTGACTTTATGTTGTATTTCCCTCTTTCAATAGGCGGAACTTGAGAGGGGTGACGCACATTCATCCATCATGTGTTACATGGTAGGTGCGGGTGTAACAGAGGAGATAGCTAGGGAGCATATGAAAGATATAATCGACAGTGCTTGGAGTAAAATCAACATGGAGTTACTCAGTGCGACTTCAAGGGAGCAAACATTTGTGAATCTTGTTATAAACACTGCACGAGTATGTCATTTCATATACCAAAAAGGAGATGGTTTTAGCGTTCAAGATGGTGATACAAAGAACAAGATCAAACGTTTACTCATTGAACCACTCAAACTTTGAATTCGAATCATGAGATATTTATAATTAGAGATACGGAGTATAAATAATTAAAATCATGTATTTGCAAGAGTGAAATAAAGTCGAAATATTAATGAAGCTAAAAGAGAAAAAATGAAGTATAAAATGAAGTTTTTTTAGCTTACTGTTTATTGTAATATTCCGAGAGTGATGGATAGCTTAAGTGGTTATACCCTCTCGGTTTTAGGAGATCCTGAAATCGATTCTTATCTCGCCGTTGTATTCTCTAAATACCAAAAAAATCTATTGTAATATTCCCTTCGTCTATAAATAATATTCTTATAAAGTTTGAATACGCATATTGATTAAGGAATATAGGAGGGTGGAGTGAAAATGTAAAGAGAAAGAAAGGATAGTGAAGGCGGCACATCATATGAGTTTAGTATAAAAACTTTCCATTTTATGTAGCAACAGGATTTTATTCATTTGGAGGGAGTAATTTCTAAGCATCATGTCTCAATTCATTTAACATTGTCTATGTATCAAACGTAGTATTATAATGACTTGTCCTAGCATCCGAGCTAAAATCGAATTATTTGAAATTGAGAGTTGTTGCTGAAAACGCCTTAAATAACAGCGAGTCACTTTCTAAGTTTCTAGCTTCTTAGAACAGATCACAGATGTTGGATCAGAGAAGCACCAAATGGCAAAATAGATATATTATCATCACTCATCAGACAATTGTGAATCATCGTTAATAAAATAAGTAATTAATTAATAATATATGTTTAATTTAAATACCAGGAATAAAAAATAGGCCAACAACATAAACAAATTCTTCTCCCGTGAATCAATCTCTCACACTTCTTCTTCTCTCTCCTTCCCCCTTTCTGGGTTCATCGATTCCACCAATTCTTCATTCATTCATTCAACTTTTTCGCTCTTTTCCCCTTTCTCTCTCTCTCCGGATTTCCCAGATTCTGTAAATTTTTTAGGGTTTCGATTTCAGTTGGAGAGAGAGAGAAAGTGTGTGAAAAATGTCGAAGAAGAAAACTTGCGGCAGCACCATGACTCTCAAGGATTTTCATGGCGGTTCTATCCCATCTGACCTTCCTCTTCCTTCTGCACCTGGCGTGTATGTTCTTCTATTCTTATTGATTCAGTTTGATTTTGATTTTATATGTAGAAATTAATGATTTTGATGAGATAATCGTTTGCCCTAAGATCTGAGCTATCTGGGTTTCAATTTGATTTTCGTTTTTTAGCTATTTGATTGTAATTTGTGTGGAAAAAGATGTTTTTAGTGTGTTTCTTTTTATTGGATCGGATCTGTGATTGAAAACCCTAGCTTGATATTGCTTATGCGAATGGAAACAGGATTGCGAGGCCGACTGATCGACCGGGTTTTGATCGACAAAGCTCATGGGGAAACCCAATGGGGGGTCGATCTGACCATCGATTGCGCCCGAGCTCGTCGGGTTCGATTAGGAGTTTGGATGATAATAAGACCCCTTTTCTTACTAGTACTGCTAACATAGGTAGGAATTTCGATGAGGATGAAAGGAAGCCGCTTGATGGGGGTGCGTCTGCTCCTCGTAGGACTGTGAATGATGATAGTAGTATTGGGGTTTCGATTCGGTCTGACCCTCGAGCTGATGGTGGAAAGTTTTCTGGGCAACCGAGTTTGGGGCCTGTGGTGCCTCATACGGGGGGATCTGGGGGGAGTTCTTACTCGGCTAGGGTTGTTGAGGGAGGCCATTCAGGTGCAGGTGGGAGTTCTCGGCCAAATGCGTGGGGTGTCAAGAAAGAGACTCGTGTTGTGTCTGATGTTGGGTCATCTCCGTGGAGTGGGCAGAGTACTGTTTCTAAGTTTGCACAAGCAAGTGCACTAGACCAGATTTCCTCGGGGAGATGGCAGACTAAGCCAGTGCAACATCAGGTGGATGTAGAGGTCATTAGGTCATCTGATTCGCCTAATAGTTTGAGTGGGAGGGAGAGTGACTCTTATGGTGGTGGTGTGAACATTTCTTGTGAAAGGGAATATAATGACACTACATTGGTGAGGCATGTTGGAAGGGGTCTTGCACTAGAAGATGGTGTTCGTGGTGGTTTTAAGGAGATGCCTGGTGTTGAGAGGGTGCATTCTCCTGTGCAGAATTCTGTGCTGTTTACTAACGAGGGTCAACCAGCTCACCCTGATGGCAAGTATGGAGGTCCTCTGTTGCAGCAGCCTCCAGAAGTGTCTGAAAGGCCTAAGTTGAAACTACTGCCAAGAACCAAGCCTTTGGATGTCCAAGAGCCATCTTCTGTTGACTATAGGCAGGTATGATAATTTGATGATTGGCTGATGTCTAGGCTGTAGGTACTCTATTGTGAATGCTTATGGTAATTGTTGTGCCCATCTTTCTGTTTTTATGAAGGGTTTTCAACAACCTATTGATACTGGTCACTCAGACAGAATCCATGGCAATGCAAGTCATGTGAAACCTAGACCAAGTAGTAGTGAAGCAAACCAGGGGAAACCTGGAGTAAGTGGCAATGAAGCAGCAGGGCATCAGGTTGTGGAGCGTCCAAAATTGAACTTAAAGCCACGTTCACAGCCAGCTGACAATGTAGTGGGAAATACTCAAAGAGAAAGGTAAGTTCCTTGCTAAATTCCTTGGATGCTTCAGGAAGCTCATTTTACCTGCACTCTTCTGTGGATTATTAACAATCAGTTTTAAGTACCGCACCCTTGGATGGCCACCAAATTTACCTTTCTTTGCCATCAATTTTCTTTTGGCAGTTAAACTGTGATGTAGTTACTAAATCCAATCTATATTTTGTAATTTTCTAGTGATTCTCCTTACTTTTGATTTTCTATTATTTGGACAATATGTACTTGTATTGCTGAGTTTGTGAATCATTTCACTTTGACATAGGCAGCTTGCCCAGTTGCTTCTGATTTGTGGTAGCCTGACATCTGAGCAATACTTTCGCCGTACTTTGTTCTGCTATTTTTACAACTTGAGCATTTTCTTAGGGTAAGGGAGGGAGGGTGGGGTTCTTTGGGTTATAGCTTATAGCATGTGATTTGAATTTTTGATCAAGTTTGATGATTCATTTTAAGCGAGTCTTCGTGTTTTCTACATATTGCTTACAAGTGCTTTTATGTTCTGGTAGATTCAGCCAGAGTTCCCTTCCTTAACCTTCCTATAAGGGGATAGAGGGAGAAGGTGGGTGGGGGGGTGGGAGGGTGGGAGGGGAAGTGGTTCCTGATACTTTTAGGAGGTATCTGTGGTGTTTGTGTTTTGGAGGTTTAGTTAATCCTTTTTTTGTAAAAGAACAAATAAATAAAACATATGACCATGAGTCTCAGGTAGGTTGATTGAGTAGGCTGTTCTGATTATCATAAGACCCCTATAACTTATATTTAACTTTTAGTAGCCTCTTATTAGCCAGCAGATGAAGTTCTTAGGTTCATTGTGGCATTCCCAAACCTAAATCGGCCATTTAAGCATTTCTCCCTGGCCATTTGTTTAAATTATAATCTGAAGTAAGAGTAATACTGCTGAGAAGATTCATGAAGCCATGTGGCATCACCGCATCAGCAATGCCATTTTTCACTATGCCTTTCATAACTTCACATAATTTTCAGACCCAGCTGCAACTGTAAGCTGCATTATGGTGCATCTGCCTAGTCACATGCTGTCATCCTTGTTTGCACATTCCAGACATGTTTCCCAAGGCAAACAATGTTTCAGTTGGCATTATTTCTCAGTATTCTCACACCTTAACCTCTTTAAGAAATATATTTACAAATTGCACCCTAGCTACCACAGGACTTTTAGAGAAGGCTAATTCTGTATGTTCTTGCTGCCCCATCTGCATTGAACATATGCACTGATTTATCATTTTTCTGTGTCTCAAATGATGGAGAAGATGTTCCTGATATGTTACACCACTCTTTTCCCTCATCTTACAAAAGATAAAAATCATGAGATAACTTAGCTTTCTGTTCAGCTCTCTGTTATTTTGTTAATTGTGTGTGACTCAATTTGGTATTGATAGGCTTTTCTATGGCTACAAAAAATATAGGATATGGTGGAGGTTGTGTTTATGGGTGATCAAAGGTAGGGGAAGATGTGAATATGAAAGCTTTGTATTAATTTACTTAATTTAAATGGTTCCATGTATTCTATGTGTTTATTGTGAAGTAGTAGGCAAAATGCTTGTCAATTTTCTAATGGAAGCAAATTATAAGTTATTGAAGGGGCAGACTGTGTATCAAATCTTTCCTTAAGTTAGATCAGGATATGAGGCATTGTGGTAGGGTTGAGGTTGATTTTGAAGGGCAAGGTTACAGATCAACAATGTGATGTAGACTTATTTAGTTACTGTCTTATGGTGACAGGAAGGTACTTTGTTAGTGTTCTTGCTGATATTTGTGTTTTGAGTTAAGTCTAAGCCATGGGTTGTGGTTGATTTTGAAAGGCAAAGTTACAGATCAACAATGTGATGGAGAATTATTTAGTGACTGTCTTATGGTGACAGGTAGGAATTGTGTTTATGCTTCACTGATTTTTGTGGTTTGGGTTAAGTCTAAACTCTAAACTTCTAAAGCAACAGGGGTGGTTAGAAGCTGTGGTTTTACAATTGCTGTCATTGAGTCCATTTTATTTAGCGATTTTTATGCCACCCGAGCTGTGTTATATTCATTTTAAGTTATGGTGACTAATTGTAGATGCACTTTGGGACTAAGGCTTTGTTGATGTTGCTGCTGCCATGTTAAATGGACCAAGGCAAAGCCCACAATAGCATATTGAAATTGAAGTCTAAATTGTGCAACGCTGCCCCTCTGTTTTGGGTGGATGGCTAGGGTGGGAGGGTAAACAGTAGGTATAAAGTTTATAGAGATTGCACTTGCCTTTTGATGTGTATTAATGTTTTACCAGAAGTGTCCTTCAAAAAGAAAGCTTTTCCAGTTATGTGCATCATGATTTTTTCAAATTTTTACTAGTGGAATCCACATTGGATTGATCATATAATTAGTTGAACATACAGAGGTCGAGAGGAGCTTATGAAGTAAAAAAGGGGAGTTTTCCATCATTTTATGTTCATTGATATGAATTGGCAGTATAGGCATATGGACAGTCTTAATATTTTGGGCTTCCTATCACCCCATGGTTTCCTTACACTAGAATTTTTCTGCTGATTCATTTTCTACCATTACATTGTTTCTTCACTTAATTCTCAACATGTATTTTGTCCTGTTTATAAGGCTGTATTCTGGTCTATATCGAATGGTCTTTGTTTAGAAGACTAAAATGTTTATTATGCGGGATTAATATGTTGTGCTGAGATGTGATTTCCTAAATCTTGATAAAATTGGCTTTGGAGTTGATTATATGTTTGTATTAATGCAGGAAGGCTGTGTTTGGTGGTGCTCGGCCAAGGGAAATGGTAAATGTTCAAATTCAAGATTATCTTGCGAGCCTTTATTTTTTCTTTATATACTTGTGTTTTAATACTCAGACTCGTCTAGGAATGTCCTTGTTCAACTAGTGTCCAAAACTCCAAATGTTCGGATTTACTTCTTTGACATGGTTCAGTGGACAGCAGTTGGCATGGAGACTGATGAGTTAAACTGAGTTATGAGGTGACTGGCTAGAGACTTGAGCTGACATTCTTAAACACGTTTAGTTATGAGGTTGAAATTAAGGACTAGTTTGCTACTCCTAGAATGAGGGCAGACTGAAAACATTGAAATTGCTCAAGGGAAGGTGAAAAGCCCTTTACCTTTTCTCTAGGATATAGAAAGCTTTCTTTTGCTTCAGGGCGTGGGGCTTGCAGTTGAGGGGGTGTGGTGCATTTGAAGCAGTAAAAGGAAATACCAGGGTCCCTATGTTAAATATTTATTGATGAATATTTATTTATTCTTTTCTTATGGGTGGGGGGGGGGGTGTTTAATTATCTGTTTTTGTCCTAACAACTATTTTTACATGGCTAAGATTTTGAAGGAGCGTGGTGTTCATGATGTTATCAACATCCATGATGATGCACAAGGTCCAAGCCGGTAATGATATTACACTTCCCCATGTATATTTTAACCACAAAATTGATGTAATCTGTGTATCATATCTAAAACGCAGAATGATTTTTCTTAACTCTACATAAATTACTAAAGCTTCTATAATTCATTTCTATGTGCTTACTTGTATGGATTATTGATTATTTGTGTAGGATTAAAAATGATTCCCCTCGTGCTGAAGTAGTAGCTCCTGCACATGGTAATACCTCACGCCAGGGTGAAAGGATCGATAATCTTTCCATTGATCAGAGGACTGGCAGAGGCCATGAGAAGAAAGACCAAAGAGGAGATATCCAGAGAGCTGATGTGCAAAGAAAGAATTGGCGTAATGAAAACTGGAGAAGTGGCCGAGAGACCGAGAAGCACCAGCAGGAGAGGCAACCTTCACCAGAGACTTGGCGCAAGCCTGTTGAACAGCCAAAGCCTAGTGACACTGACAGCTCTGGACTGCGTTTTGGAAAGGCTGTTTCTGCTGTTGATCTGGCACAAGCTTTTTCAAGATCAGTATCAGGTCCCAAGCCTGTCGATCAATTATCTGGTCAAAGGGGACTTCCTGCGCAAAAGGGGCTCCCTGTTCGTTCACAGGTGCCTTTTTCAAGGCTTACCAGCTCAACAAGACCTCAGATCAATGGTTACTGATTGGTTTAAACAATTGCTTGAGAGATCGCTCCATCGCGGGGGAGAGGTTACAGGAATTTGCTGCTTGTGTTGGATCAAGAGAAGTAGAGAGGGAAATGAGATTAGGAATATGCCTGAAACATGGTGAATAATAAGGGGATTTTCAGCCGTCTTTGCTTTTTTGTTGGATCGTTGAGTCCCAATGAGCAATCCGCTTGCACATTTGTTTTTTCTTGTCCGGTAGAGGATTCAGGTCCTGTGATAGGCAAGGAACTGACTGGTAGTTGCTCAGTTATTGGCAAGTCAAAGCAGGGGGGTGCTTCGATAATCTGCCTCATACCCATTTGATATGAATGATATTGGTTCATTACTGTTTCAGATGATTACTTGGGTTTTTGTAGACTTGCCTTCGAGCATGTCTCTGAAATGTCTTTGATGTATTTGAATGTATGCAGATCAAATTTCATTGGACTCATCTTGAATTTCTGGCCAGTATATGCTTGTGCACCATTTTTTAGCATTCCGTGCATAGTTTTAGGTGTATTATGTTAAAATTATTGTACAATTCAGTCCATTAACACAGTAAGTCCAAAAATTAGTGGCAACCTATATCAAATTTAAAGAAATTAGTCGGTACAATCGTTGTACATGACCGAAGCAGACTGCAATTGACCATAGGTAGAAAAAGATGCATCACTAACTTGCTAGTCTTGATAAAGGTCAAGACAGGTTAATTAGCATTTAGCAAGGCCAATAAATGACGCGTTCTTAGCTCGACTTACAAGGCGACGAAGACTTTTATTACGAGCATTTTTTTTAATTCAATAATGATTGGTTTATGGCTTCTTAAAGGATTGAGGAGTCTTCGTACCAATCATAGTTGTTGAAGCGATGATGAAGTTCTTACCTCTTGTTCCTCTTTGCTGTCTTCTTTTTGGCATTTCGCCTCTTCTTGTCGCTCCTACTCCGACGTTGCTATTTCAGGTATGTCTTTATCCGATCATGGTAATTTTTTTTTTTTTATGTCAATGATTTTTTATGGCTAATATTCATGGTCTCTAAGATAACATCATTTAACAAGAAAATATCGCTTGAATAGGGATTCAATTGGGAGTCATGTAATAAACAAGGAGGATTGTACAACTCTCTCATGAACTCCGTTGATGATCTTGCTAGAGCTGGAGTCACACATATTTGGCTTCCTCCACCTAGCCACTCGGTTGCTCCTCAGGGTATGGTCTTTTATCATACATTCGACATGGAAATATAAACCAGAAAAAAAAAAAAACAAAAAACTGTATTCTTATTTATATATTTTCTAACAATTTTGTTATGATAGAATTCAGTTATGTTTTATAATTCATCTCTTTGAATTGCAGGGTATTTGCCAGGAAGATTGTATGATCTTGATGCTTCTCAATACGGAAACAAGCTTCAGCTGAAGACATTGATTAAAGCTTTTCATCAAAAGGGAATCAAATGTATTGCTGATATAGTGATAAACCATAGGTGTGCAGACTACAAAGATGCAAGAGGGATATATTGTATATTCGAAGGAGGAACTCCGGATGATCGCCTAGATTGGGGTCCTTGGGCTATTTGTAGGGATGATATTGAATATTCAGATGGCACTGGCCACCTAGATACCGGAGCTAGTTATCCTGCTGCTCCTGATATCGATCATCTGAATTTACGTGTACAGAAAGAGCTGTCAGATTGGATGAATTGGTTGAAAACTGAGATTGGTTTCAGTGGTTGGAGGTTGGATTATGTTAAAGGTTATGCACCTAACATAACCAAGATTTATGTAAAGCAGACTAAACCGGACTTTGCTGTAGGAGAACTTTGGAACTCGATTTCTACTCAAGATGGTAAGCCGGTGTATAATCAAGATGCACATAGAAATGAGCTAGCTACATGGGTTGAAAATGCTGGTGGAGGTGTTGTTACTGCGTTCGATTTTACTACCAAAGGTATCTTGCAAGCTGCAGTCCTAGACGAATGGTGGCGAATGAAGGACTCGTATGGGCAACCGAGTGGAATGATTGGAATTTCATCAAGACATGCTGTTACCTTCATTGATAACCATGACACTGGATCTACTCAAAATAGGTGGCCGTTCCCATCGGATAAAGTTATGCTAGGATATGCTTATATTCTTACTCATCCCGGAATTCCATCAATTGTAAGTATTGTCACGAGTATGATACCGATTTGTAACGTTCTTTGTCGAATTATATTACATTGTTTTAAGTATCTTTAAGACTAACCACAATTTATATTTTGTGATTTTACAGTTCTATGATCATTTTTTCGAATGGGGACTAAAGGAGGAAATCGTTAAGTTGGCTTCAATCAGGGCAAGAAATGGTATATGTGAATCAAGTAGAGTGAAAATATTGGCCTCGGATTCTGACCTTTACGTCGCCATGATTGATGAAAAGATTATTGTTAAAACTGGTTCAAGATATGATGTTGGTGACCTTGTTCCATCAAATTTTAAGATTGCTACTTCAGGAAACGATTACGCCGTGTGGGAGAGGGAAAGCTTAGTTGTAATATGAACGTTGACAATTTGATTGTCAACGGTTGCTTCAAAGTACTTGTCTTGCATAATTATACTCTTGCATTTATAATTAATTTTCATGTATGTATTTCTTTGATCTTTAGATGCTCATAAAGAGTAGTCCAATATGTAAAATCGATAGACCTTTAAAGGACAATTTAATTACAGAGTATATAGACAAGATTCGATCCTATATTTTAGTACAACTCTAAAGATATATTACCGACAAAGCGAGCAGACGTCCGCGATAAGAATTTTACAAGTTTAGCTGAATAATGTGCTCAAAGGTGTTCTTTAATCAACATTTAGTCAAAACTCTATCATAGTATCATAACGTGAGATAGAATATGAAAGAAATGATCTAACTAACTATTTCTATATTAATTTTAGGGTATTTTGATTTTTACCACCTTCAAATAACCAAATAATTGAATTTACCACCTCCAAAAAAAAAAGATTTACTTTACCACCTCATAAAAAAATTAAACATCAGTTTTACCACCAATCACCTCCAACTAACGGATTCCGTCCAAAAATCCGTTAGTGGGGCCTACCTTGCACACGTGTCACCATATTATTGGGTAAGCTTTAGAAAAAAAATTAAAAAAAACAAAAAAAAAATTAAAAAACCTCATCCATCAATTGGTGGCTGCTGCCACCGTCGAGACCCCACCACCGGACCGACTACGACCAGCCCCACCACCTGACCGCTACGACCAGCCCCCACCACCTAACCGCTACCAGCCACCGTCGGGACCCACAGCCACCACACCGATTTCGACCTCAAAACCCTAGCCACCACCTAACAGCTACGACCAACCCCACCACCTAACCGCTACCACCGCACCGCAGACCACAGCCGCGCCGATTTCGACCCCCTTTCCACCAATTTCCGACCTCAAAACCCTAGTCAACACCTAATAGCTACGACCAACCCACCACCTAACCGCTACCACCGCACCGCACACCACAGCCGCGTCGATTTCGACCCCCTTTCCACCAATTTCCGACCTCAAAACCCTAGTCAACACCTAATAGCTACGACCAACCCACCACCTAATCGCTACCACCGCACCGCACACCACAGCCGCACCGATTTCTACCCCTTTCCACCAAATTCCGACCTCAAAACCCTAGCCACCACCTAACAGCTACGACCAACCCCACCACCATCCAAACCCAGACCAGAAACAACCGCCACCCAGACGCGAAACCACCCCGACTCAAAACCACCACCACCCACCAGAAACCACGCCAGCCAGACGCGAAACCATCGCGACTCGAAACCACCACCACCCAGACGCGAAACCCACACGAAATTCCGACCAACCGAGGTAGTTGATTTCGTTGCTGGTTGGTTGACATGGAAGATCGGGGAAGATGAAGAAGAAACGTCAAAAATGTGGGCCCTACTAACGGATTCATGGACGGAATCTGGTAGTTGGTGGTAAAATCGATTTTTTGGAAATTTTGGTGGTGGTAAAGTAAATCTTTTTTTTTTGGAGGTGGTAAATTCAATTATTTGGTTATTTGAAGGTGGTAAAAATCAAAATACCCTTAATTTTATAGATTGGTAAGCAGAGTACTTTTTCCCATTTTCCAGGCAATTACATATAAATGGAATGATTTAAATTGTTCATTTCAGTTTCCCACTTTGGGCATGAGAGAGTTTATTTAATAAATTACCCTTTTTTATGGCATATATTCAACAAGTTTTTTCCACAAGTTAAAATGTGAGTTTTTTTTTTTTACTCTCCTGTCCCATATGGCCATATTATGTTCTTATTTCTTAACAAGCTTTTTCCACGACTCCACAAGATATAAAATGATATACGTAGTTTTTAGGATTACATATAAGAAACTAAAAAAATACAACGTACATTATTCAAAACGTCTTTATACCTATTGATGTGTAATTTTGTCATAAACTTTTAAAGTTAAATTCACATACACTCAATTTTTTCTATCTATTTATATTTTTCCTAAAATTTATGTTAAACTGGTTTGTGCCTTTTGTGGCAAGTATACGAAAAAAAAAATGGAAGGAATATTTTTTATTAATGTCAGCCACTACTCCATAATTATTAACCATAATTGGCGCCTAGAAGTGTTGCTTGCATACCGGCAAGGTGGGGCGAAGGATAAAGATTATTGGATAGCGACTTGTTATAACTATTTTTGTTCACTCTTGAAGTGTTTTGTTATACAATAAGGTAGGCGAAATTATAATTTTTAATGATCACATATTTGTCAAGATTTGTGTTGAATTATAGTGTGAATTTATCTTTATTCCCTTGTTAAGTGGGATTTTTATTCTAAACATGCCATTCAGTAATTAGATAATCTCCGTAAAAAAAAAAAAAAAAAAAAAAAAAAAAAAAAAAGTAATTAGAAAATCAATTAATCATGACTTCATGAGCAAAAGGAGTAACCATCTTACTAATATTTTTATTTAAACAAAGATAGGGCAATTGCATTAGTATGAAGAATGTCCATCTTATAAACATTTGTAATATAACGCCCTGTCATGTTTTCATTTACATGGACTCTACGATGTGTAAATGACCATATTGAATGGAAATTGTGAGAGAATGTAAAATCATATCCAGAATAATTAACATGACAATATTGTTGAGACTCTTGAGAGTATTGAACACTCTAGTTTTTGTCAAGCTACTTAATAATTTAAACAATACTTGTTTCCGATATATATGTCATTGTTAAAATTTAACTGGGGTAATAACATAAACATAATCAATAATGGTATTTTCATACATGTGGAAAAGAACGACACCCAAGTGGGAAAACACCAACTAGAACCTCAAATACTTATAAAAAATGCAATCAATTGACAAGATTAAATGATTAATCAACTTTTGTTAGCATTAGTTCATACATTACGGACCTACCATCTCAAAAAGACACCATAACCGGATTTATACCTTTATTATTAACGAACATTAGTGCTTATAAACAGTTGATTAACATACCCAAGAATAATTTTTTTAATTGAAAAAAATATTAGGAAAAGCGAATCTTATTTCAGGGATCAATGAAAATTAAATAGATGACAATTTTGTCCACAAGTGGTTGGTTTTTTCTGGGATGGTCAACTTTTATCAACTGAATAAATTTATTAGTCTAATGTAAGACAGGTTTTTTTGCTTATCTTTGTTTTATGTTTTGTCTCTAAACTTGAAAAGTTGAAATTAGTGCAAAAAACACAAAATTCCACAACTTAAAATTTCTACAAAGAAGCTTCTGTTTCTTTTTCAGTTCCACCCTATTCTATATTTCTATGTTGTTGTCTTTCACATCTTCATTCTTAATCACCATAAATAATTCAAAATTTAGACATAATTTTGTTTTAATTACTTGTTCTCGAACATCATTATGGAAATTAATAGTGACCTTCAAGTAGATGTCAATGGCCAACACATTTTTTGGGCGAACAAGGTAATTTTTTTTTTTTTTTAATCATATTACATTATATTTGCATGTTATTACGTATATAAAATATAAGGTTTGCCTATATTATTATCCATTTACTACATAGTTGGTACATTGTCTTACAATTTTGTGGTGTATAAACTTTTTTTTTTTTTTTTTTTTTTTTTTTTTTGGCAGGAAATTTATGCTCAATTTTCTAGTAAGTTGAGCAATATATTTGAGAAAAGGTGCAAAAATGGTGGTAAGGAGATGAAAGTAATATTCCAAGACTTTCCGGGTGGACCGGCCGGATTTGAGCTTATCACAAGGTTCTTCTACAACAATGGTGCCATTGACATAACTCATTCGAACGTATTGTTTCTACACCATGTAGCTAGATACTTGGAAATGAACAAGGTTGTGTTTGGAAGGCCTAGTTTGATGGATCGAACCGAGAAATTTCTCGAGGGAGTCGATTTATGGGATTGGTCCGAGCTCTTACTAGCATTGACTGACGGTCAACGTTTATTGATCGATATCAATCCAGTTTCTTCGGTCCGAATGTTAGTAGGTGAGGTTGTGGAGAGGCTTGCATCGCGTTGTTTAACAACACCTTCCTCTCTTTCTTCTAAGTGCTCGAGTTTTCGATCCTCATGTGATTCTAAGAGCACCCTAAGTAATAAAAGTGGCTATTTTCGTATGTTTTGGTGGTTTGAGGATCTTTCAACGACTCTCAATATCGATTTGATTGAGTTATTGGTAAAGAAAATGGTCCTAGAGAAATTCGATCATCTTACAATAAGCAAGTTCATTTTCTACTATCAAAGGGTGAGAGTTCTTCGTGTTACAAATATAGTTGTAAGGGCTAAAATCGTCGAAAAATTAATCAACCTACTTTCTCTCCTTGATAAGAGGATTATTTCAATCAAAGGATTGTTTGAGACCTTGAGGATTGCTTCAAATTTGAAGCTAACACAACCCCACAAGAGTAAACTCGAGATTTTAATTGGTTTGCAGCTTGATCAAGCGACATTAGATGATTTACTTCTTCCATTTCCACTAAGAAAAACCAAGAAATGTACTATGTACAATGTGAATATTGTACTAAGGTTTTTGAAGAATTTTCTTTTGGATGGAAACATTAGTCATCATAAGCTTTGCTCATATCGATTGAAAAGAGTAGCGCGGTTGGTGGATTCATATGCTAGCGAAATTGCACCGGATCATCGATTGAAGCCCTCCATGTTTGTTGCACTTACCATGGTGATCCCAGATTCTGCTCGCGACTCTTGTGACAAGATATATCAAGCTATTGAAATCTTTCTTGAGGTAACCATGCATTTTATGTCATAAAAATATTATTAATTTTGTTATTAGTACTTGGTCTTTTACTTTGTCATAAAAATATATATGATCTCAATATTTTTTTATTTTTTTTATTTTTATATTAGTACTTAGTCTTTTACTTTGATTATTTTTTGTAGGTTCATCCAAAACTCAATGAAGAACAAAAGACTCAAATATGTGCAGCATTGAACTACAACAAGCTTTCGCCACAAGTACTAAACCGGTTGTCTAGAAACAATAGTTTTCCGTTGTTAGCGATTGTACAAGCCGTAATACATCAAAATCCTACACTAAAACGCTCGGTCAAGGACACCAATCACCTCAAAGTATTTAGGAATTTGAGTTGTAGGGGTCATGAAGCGAAATCGTTCGCAACTAGGGATGAAGTTCTTGTCAAAGAGTTAGCCAATAACGAGAAGTT